TCATGAGGATAAACAGGAAGAACTGCAGGAACCCGAGGAACCCGCTCATGAGGATAAGGAGGAAGAAGTGCAGGAACCGGAAGGGCCAGCTCATGAGGATAAGCAAGAAGAAGTGCAGGTGTTCGAGGTGCCAGTAGAGGAACTGCAACAGCCAGTGCAGGAAGAGGATCAAGAAAAAGTTCAGAAACTCGAGGAACTAGCTCATGAGGATAAGGAGGAAGAACTGCAGGAACTCGAGGAACCAGATCATGAGGATAAGGAGGAAGAATTACAGGAACTCGAAGAGCCAGCTGATGAGGATAAACAAGAAGAACTGCAGGAACTCGAGGAACCCGCTCATGAAGGTGAGGAGGAAGAATTCCAGGAACTGGAAGAGCCAGCTGATGAGGATAAGGAGGAAGAAGTGCAGGAACCCGAAGAACCAGCTCATGAGGATAAACAGGAAGAAGCACAAAAACTCGAGGAACCAGCTCATGAAGATAGGGATGAAGAATTTCAGGAACTGTAACGGCCAGTACAAGTGCCGAATCAGAAAGAGGTCTACGATGAATATGAAAAGGACGCATATCAGTTGGAAGAAGTGACTGGTGATGATGAAGGAGAAAGGAAAGAGGAGGATATAAACAGGGTAACTCCTACTTATGTGATTGATGTTGGTTTGCCTAAATATCAGGATGATAGTTTCGTAAGTGTGGTGAAGAAAGTTTGGAAGATATAATGAATAAACACGCGTAACTGTGTAGTGGGAATATCGTTTTCACGACTGTCATGTACGGATGTTGTTGTTGTTGTATTGTAGGCTTTTCTGGAGGCCATCTATGTATACGTGTTTATACGTCTAATTATTTGTATTTACGCTGTTTGTTGAGGTATTTTACTCTAACATGAATGGAACACTACGTTGGAAAGAATATGTATATAGGTGTAAGTAGTATTATAATTGCCATCAATGCCACCGTTTATTATTATTTTTTTTTGCTTATTCTTCTTTTGGAGAACTGACGTACCCACACCTTTTCCATAAGTGTTTTTTTTTCATATTACTAGGGATATGAACTATTGTTTTTATTTTTATTTTTCTCACTCCTTACTTTTTTTTTTCTTTTCTTTTTTGTGTCTCTGTGTCTATATGGTCTTTGTTTTATAAGAATAAATTGAGTATACACTGACGGGAATTCTTCCTGTCATATCCGCGTAAATAAAAAAAAAAATATTTATATATATAAGGGTTATATTCCTGTGTGTGTGTCTGTCTGTTAGAGAGATAAAGAAGAGGGTAGTTTAGTTTTTCACTAGTCAAGTCAAAGTACAAAAAAAAAAAAAAAAAAAAAAAAAAAACACTATTCGAGAAAAGGTGACCGTTCTTACTGAGAGTGTGTGATACTACTGATTTCACCTCTTAGCTGAATAGCAACAATAATAATAATAAGAATTCCTGACGGCAGCGAAGAAAGCAAAAGAAAAGAAAAATAAAAAAGTTACATAAACCCATACATCAAACGATACAATAGAGAGATTCTCTTAAAGAAACGAAATGAGTGATGATGATCTTGTTGCGACGTTCATGGCCATCAACAACTGCAGTGAGGAAGAAGCCGTAAGTTATTTAGCAGAGGGCAACTTTGATCTCGTGTTCGCACAGTCACTCTACACCGCAGCCCATCACGATCAAGAGGCATCACAGCCGTCACCACCACCGCAGCCGCAGTCTCAGGAACAATTATTTCGTGAACCGCACGGCTCCGCCCGCCCCCCGTTGGGCATCTCATCGCCGTCGGATCTCTCCAACGCGGGATCGCCGGGGTACGCAACACCACCGTACTTAATCAGTCGACTCGACGGCGGTGGCGGCATGGATCGGCAGGGGCAATTTCCTGCCGCGCCAAGCACTGTACATGCTTCAATGCCATTTGCCTTCCAACAGTGGCAACAACAACAACAACAGCAACAACAACATCAGTCAAGTATGGAAGCTGATAGGATGCCTTCGCTTTTCGCAACACCATCATTTGTAGAACAAGGAACTGTACCATTTTCGCATTTTTGCAATCGTGCACTGGAAAACGATCAATGGGTACTTCTTTGTCTTCGAGGGGATGATTTCAAAAGTTTCTGTGTTAACAGAGACATATGGTGTTCTGAAAGGATGAATGAAACACTGGGCATGTTTCGTGTCTATGAGTCTAATGTCTCAACAGAGCAGGGTGAGCAACTGGCACATGGTTATCGTGTTGATAGCTTAAGAGATATTCCAGTATTACTTATTATTAACCCTCTTACCACGTTAAAAGAATCATCAGTACCTGTGAACATTTCAGAAAGAGGTATTGATGTTAATGAGATTAATGAAGCGCTTCTCTTATTTGTTGCCGAACGTGGTTCACCTTGTCAGTGGGAAACGAAAAAGTATGAATCTCGTTCTGTAGAGACCACATCTGCCGAACCTCCAAGGCAGGAGTTTTTAGTTGATGATGATGACAACAATGATAATGATGTTGTTGTTGTGGATACTGCTGATGGCAATCACAGTCCTGCTATCGCTGTGCCGCCACCTGTTGTAGTAGTGGACATAACCCCATATGAAGTGAGTGCTGATGAGAAGAACGCCTTTGCATTGCGCTGTCGACTTCCAAATGAACAGATGACATTACGACTGAAGCCTGAGACACCCGCACAGCTTTTCGTGGATTACTTGGCCTACCGTGCATATGTGAACCAACCAGAAGCCTACCCCCACGGAGTGCCGAAGTGTTCAGTCAAAGCCGGTTATCCACCACGGGAGGTTGTTATTAAGGATGAGAAACAGCAGTTATTATCCTGGAGTGGGGTGCGTTCAGGAGATACGGTGTTTCTTCACATTCTGTAAGGTGGAGGAGGAAAAAAGAAAAAAGAAACAGAAAGGGAAAAAAAAAGAAAGGAAAAGAAAGAATGCTCTTTTACTTTATTGAAGCAAATGCATAATTATTTGATGTGAGTGCATTGATGTGAAAGGTATTGTGTATTCCTATTGGGGAGTACGCTAGTTTGGTTTTAATGTGAGGCGAAAAGGTTAGAAAAAGAAAAGTAGAAAAACAGAAAGAAGGAGAAAAAAAAAAAGGATTGATCGGTATTTTTTTTTCCCCCCTATTTTGTGAGTTGTGTCAAGAGGGGTACAATACACCCTTATACATTCTCACGTACATACAGTGATGCAGAGAGACTGAGAGAAAAAACAGAAAGCAAGAGAAAGGAACGTCATACCTAGCTATGAGTAAACTCTGTTCTTTGTAATTTTAATTTTTTATTTTTAGTGTTTTCTTTCATGTTGTTCTTGTTTATCTTTTTCTCTTTTTCTCTTTTCTTTCTTTCTTTCTTTCTTTAAGGTTCAGAGGCGTGGTCTCTTTACCCAGAAAGCATGCCAGGGGAAAAACACCACAGACATCACCGTCATAGGAGTCACGGGGATAAGACCAGTAAACCCTCAGTGGAGACGACTGTAGAGGAAGAGAACCAAGAAGAAGACTGGAATGCAAACCGTCAGCGCATTGAACTTATCTGTCAAACTCCTCCCAATAATACGTGCAATGATTGTAATAGTAACGGTACACGATGGGCATCTGTGAATCATGGTGTCTTTTTATGTATAAGATGCTCTGGTATTCATCGTTCACTCGGTGTACATGTGACAAAAATAAAATCAACCAATATGGACAAATGGCTCGCAACAGAAGTTAATTTAATGGAAGCTATTGGCAATAAGAAAGGAAAACTACTATATGAATCTCGTCTACCAAAAGGGATGAAACCCATGACAGGTGCTGAGCAAGAAACAACGTTAAGGACGTTTATTCAACAGAAGTATCAGGAAAAAGCTTTTGCAGTCGAAAATGTAAATGAGATTCTTCGACAGTATTACAAACAAACACGTTATGGGAAAAAACCGAAGAAAAGTACATCCGGTGCGAGTCACACCATTGCAAGAGGAGGAAGTGCGGCTGATGCTGGAAGCACCCAGCAGCGTGAAGAGACTATGAAGGCACTCTATGGTGTCAACGCAGACGCCATTTCAAAGAAGTCAAAGAAGATAAAACCCGTACATGGCATATTTGGAGTAGTAAACGTTCCACTTGATGAATACGATAAGCGTCGAGAAGCTCTTTTGGCGCACTTTAACCTTTTAGAACCCTCTGTTGCTGGCATTGTTAACACTGTCTGATTACCTTACTTGAGATGTTCTATTGTTATCGCCATATGCGCAAAAATGCAAGGAAAAAGAAAAGAAAAACAAGGGGCGTATCCGCCCGTGAGAGTGTGCACATCCTTACTTTTCCTTTTTTTTTTTTTTTTTGTTTCTCTCTTTCCCCAAGTTCTCTGTTACTTGAGAAGAAACCAAACAAATACCACTATTTCCACTTGCTATTTTTTTTTTTTTTTTGCCTGGCTCCTTGTTTTTTTCTGTGTTATTATTTTTTTTTTTCTTTAACAGAGAGGAAAATTAAGTTAATACAAAAATAAAAGAGTGTAAATAAAGACAAAGCACATCTAAGGTAAATTTACTGGATCAGGAAAAAAAAAAAAAAAAACAAGAACAAAAAACAGTAAGTGAATACTTTTTTTTTCATTTTTCCTGTTATTTGGCCTTCAACATGGAAACTCTTTCTGTGAATGACCTGGAGGCAGTGAAGCGCGTTGTGGAGTATCTGCGCCATCACCCGGAGGAGCTTCACCGGGACGAACTTCAAGAATTTCGTGCCTATCTGGTTTCCCTTGGCGCATCTCTGCCCCAGCCCCGAACGGAAAGCAAAGAACCGACAAAGGAAGAAGAAAGCGATGAAGAGCTGAATACAAGTGAACCGGATGATGAACGATGGGAGTTGGAGAAGGACATATCGGATGATAATATTCCGCTTTCCACCAGCGCAGATCCCACACCAGAGGAAGAGGAAAAGGCTGCTGAACTTAAGGCTGCAGCTGCAGAGTCTGCCAGCCAGGGAAATAAGGAAGAGGCGGTTGAGAAGATGGGAGAGGCATTGCGATTGGTTCCAGGTAAGGCAATGTACTGGTCGCAGCGGGCAAGTTACTTGCTTGACTGTGCACGACCTGGTGCTGCGTTACGTGATGCCAGCCGTGCCCTTGATATTAATCCTCAAAATGTTCGTGCATTGCGTGTTCGTGGCACTGTTAATCGTCACTTGGGTAAGTGGGAAGATGCACTGAAGGATCTCGGTGAGGCCCAAACGATTGACTACGATGAACATATTGACGGACTTCTAAAGTTTGTCAAAGAAAGGTTAAGTCGACGCCGTCAGGCACTGCGCGAGAAGCAAGAGAAGGAAGAACGTAAACGAGAAGAGGCTATTCGTCGACAACGTGAACAGGAGCAGCGTGAAAGAGAACAGGAAAGCTCGCAGAAGCATGGACAAGAAACCGGTGGATTCCCTGGTGGTGCTCCTGGTGGCTTCCCTGGTGGTTTCCCTGGTGGTGCTATTCCTCCAGGAATGGAAGAACTGTTGAACGATCCAGAATTTAAGACAGCCATGCAGGATCCAGAAGTGGCAGCGAAGTTAGCCACACTTATGCAAAACCCCATGGCTGCCATGCAAATGATGGGTGATCCAAAAATGGGACCTCTTATGCAGAAGATGATGTCCAAGATGATGGGAGGAGGTGGATTCCCTGGTGGATTCCCAGGTGGTGCCCCTGGTGGATTCCCTGGTGGAAAGAGCTCGAACGCGAATACACATTCCAACGACGATTTAGACTAAAAAGGTTTAACACATAAAGGTTTATTTTTGGTAGTTTTATTATTATTATTATTATTATTATTATTATTATTATTATTATTATTATTATTATTATTTGGTACCGTTTTTTTACTCTGTTAATGCTAGGTAACAGGAGACGGGAATTTGAGCGCGGCCTAAATATACGCATTTTTTCCTTTTTTTTCTATTATAAACTACCAAGGCGGGAATGGCAGATAATTCGTTTCTTTTTTTTTTCTTGTTTTGTGAGCCACACTATTCTCTTTAAAATTCCCTTATGTCCTTTTAACTATTATTATTTTTTTTTTCTTCTTGTTTACTCTCGTTTTTTTTTAAATAGGAAAATTGTGAAGCGATGCCGTCACCCACCACCCGCCGAACGTCAAGAAGTGCCTCACGAGGGCGAAAGCAACCAGTGGCTCCCAAAACAATGAATGGAGACGCGAAGGAAAGTGTTGCTAACATCGTCATGGAGGCACGTAATGTGGAAGCGATTCTGGCACGGAGGTCGTGTACTGCAAGCAGTAGAAACTCTCAATGTGGTATGTGGGCGGCAGTGGTCACCATGGAGGTTCTTTTCTTTGTGTGGCTTAAGTGGGCGATGGATATCTATCTCGCCTATCGCGCAGCGAACCCATAGATTCTGTACCACTATTTTATTTTTAAATCCACCACTGTCAATGCCGAATCACAGAGAGAAAGTAAAAAGAAACAGATATACTTACATATAAGGAATAGATCTTAAGCGACTCAAGAGAAGACACATAAATCCAGGGAAAGGAGAATAAAGGGAAGAAGAAGAAGGGGGAAAAAAAATGTTCTGTCAACCTTTCGTTGGTAGAGATTCTTTAGGTTGTTATCATCAATGAGGTTTTAAACGTTGATGGTGGCTTCAGAATGGGAATAGGTCGAGATGTAAAGCGCCAAAGATAAGAAAAGTGTGGTTTTTGTAGATGTCTGTAGGACTGATATACTTATGTGCACTTTTTTTTTATTTTTTGTAAAGCAATTCCATCACGAAGAAGGATTAAATAGAAAGAAACATGTGATCTACACCATTTACATTATTTCTTTAAATGTAGTATGCATCAGGTCGCTACAGTGGTGCTGTACAAGCAACTCTGGGAGTTTACCCTTTAACGCCTTTTTTTTTCTTCTTAAGACTATATATAGAGAGAGAGTCAAGTGGTATTTCTTCATCTCTATGTTTCTTTATAAACGTTTTTTTTTTTTTTCATTTTTCTTGATTTGAAGGTGTAGGGGTCACCAAAAAAAAAAAAAAAAAAAGGGATGGAGAAACCCTTTTACGGCCGAACAGGGGCTCTCGATAACGCACACCAAGGGGTGCCCGTTTCGACAACACGTTTTCTTTCGGGGAAATCTGCCAAATGGTTTCCTTCACTGTTAACGGTGCCACAACGTATTCTTCATAGTATTACAGAAGGTGATGGTATTGAGTGTAGTATTATCCGTTTTCTTCAATTGGGATGTGTTTATGAGGAGTTACGTAGACGCCATACTGACCCCAAACGTCATGGTCTCTTACTCCGTGAAATTCTTAAATGGTATCAAACTCTGCATAGAGAGTCTGAGAAAAGTGAATGTTTGAATGACAATAGGGACACTGATCTTTTTCAGCCATTTGTTCCCACGTACAATCTGCGGGTGATGAAGGATGATCAACCAGTAGGATTGTACACTGCGGTTACGCGTAGGGCGGTTACACTTATTGGAAAAGATCGAGAGTTGAATGACATTCCTCTCGATCACCCGAGTTGCTCAGCGCAGCACGCTGCTCTTGAAGTGCGTTTCGTGTACGCCTTCGCTGAGGATCTAGAGCAGCAGTTCACAACGTGGTTGGAAGGCCAGGCGATTGACTGGAACTCCGTGGAAGACATCGTAAAGTTGTGTGTTCGCGTACGTGAAATCATGTCCAATCTTGGCGACGGTGAGGATACATGGTCAATGGAGTTGCAGGTATTAGATCTCGGATCCACTAACGGCACTCGTCTCAATGGTGAGGCTTTACAGGCATTGCAGCCAACGACCCTTATTGAAGGTGACGTATTAACTTTTGCCTTTTCATCGAGAAAATACGTTGTTGTGCGGTCTTGACGGGATAAACACAACAAGATAATAAGTAGAGTGTGGGTAAACAAGAGAGTATAGTATTCTTTTAAATCCTTGTTACTAGTGGGTAAAATCATTTTCTTTTTATTTTGAATGTATTCTCTACAACCTTCTTTTTGTTCAAATTATAGACTATTTTTAGAAAAAAAAAAAAACGAAAAACACCGACAACAAAAACGAAAAAAAGAAATAAAAATTCATAAAAACACTATTATTCGTGGTATATGACATCGGAGTACAAAATTGAGCCTTTGGCTGAGCGCCAGGCAAAATATGCAAATCTCTTTTTGCAAATACGGAAAGTTCTTCCCAACCCAGGTAAACAGCTATTGCTTGACCCCGTAAAATTGGAGAGTGTGTACAGCAGGGACAAGTCCTATCACATACCAGTAACTCCTGCCGCGGCTGTGCTTCCAGCAACAGTAGAACAAGTTGCAGCTGTGGTGAAACTATGTGCGGCCCACAAAGTCCCAATGACACCACGAGGTGCTGGTACAGGCATTGAGGGCGGAGCCATACCGTATGCTGGTGGTGTGGTGATTGATACGTGCAACCTGCAGCGCATGGACTTTGACGTACGTAATGCGTTTGTGTGGGTTGGTGCTGGTGTGACGAAGTTACAATTGGTGAAGGCTGCACGTAAGCTTGGCTTTACGTTTGGTCCTGATCCGTCGTCGAATCCATGTGTTGGTGGGATGGTGTCCACGTCCGGCAGTGGTATGTCAACATTGAAGTATGGCACAACGCGTGAGAATGTTCTTTCACTGCGTGTTGTAACCCCACAGGGTGAGGTGGTGGAGACACGTAAGGTGGTACGCAAGTCATCCTCTGGGCTGGAGCTAACACAGTTGTACTGTGGTAGTGAAGGTACACTTGGCATTGTGTGTGAAGTGGCCTTTAAGCTGTGGCCGCTGTTACTGCAGAGTGCAGGTGGGGTGGCAACATTTGAGACAACTGAGGACGCTGTGAATGCGGTGGTTGCGTTAAAGCTGAAGGGCAGTCCATCTACTCTGCTTCGCTGTGAACTTCTTAACAAGGATGGCGTGGAAGCCTCAAATAAGTTCAGCAAACTTTCTTTACCATTGAAGGCCACGGTGCTATTGGAGTTCACGGACAATGACCCTTCTCTACGCCAAATTCGTGCGGACTTCAACACTGTGGCAAAGATATTTCGAACTGTTGGCAAAGCACTCTCTGTGCGGTTCCTGAAGTCTGGTGCTGAAATGGATTCTGTCTGGGAGGCACGCCGCGCTTGTTTGTTTGCTGCCATGATGTTGCGGGGAAAGCCAGAAAAGGTCCTCACAACGGATGTTTGTGTACCGTTGACAGAATTAACGGCCACCATTCGTGAAACAGAGGAAGATTTCACCGCCCATAACGTAAAGTGTCTTATTTGTGCACATATAAGTGATGGAAATTTCCACCTTAATATACCTTTTACGGGTGAGAAGGAAAAAAAGCTACTACGGGAACTGGAGGGCCGAATGATTCGGCGTGCTGTTGCGAGAGGAGGAACAGTTTCGGGAGAGCACGGTGTGGGAGTGGGTAAGGTGCGACACCTGGTATTGGAACATGGTGAGTCGCACATATGCGTCCAGGAGACTATCAAGGCCGCACTGGATCCCGATAATCTGATGAATCCAGGCGTATTTTACCCCAAACAACAGAGACTGTACCCCACTGCCCATCTTTGATACAAGGGACAAGAAACAAGAGAAGACATGGAACATGAACGAAAACGCATTTATTTTTTTCATTTTTTGTATTGTTTTGGCCTTAGGGCAATTACTCTTTTATTTTCAACTGGCAACAGGAACATGGGATATGTATGGACATTTATTTTTTTGATTCATCTGTTAAAAACATACTTTATATGTGTCTGTATGTGCGTGCTTTGGATATGTTTTACTGGAGGAAACAATTCCTGCTATTGCTATTAATGAGTCACTATTTTATTTTCTTCTGGTACATGGATAATGATGATGTGGGCGAAACGTCAGCACATAAGTCTGTTTCTGCACTCCCGCGGCTGTGCTTCCAGCAACAGTAGAACAAGTTGCAGCTGTGGTGAAACTATGTGCGGCCCACAAAGTCCCAATGACACCACGAGGTGCTGGTACAGGCATTGAGGGCGGAGCCATACCGTATGCTGGTGGTGTGGTGATTGATACGTGCAACCTGCAACGCATGGACTTTGATGTACGTAATGCGTTTGTGTGGGTTGGTGCTGGTGTGACGAAGTTACAATTGGTGAAGGCTGCACGTAAGCTTGGCTTTACGTTTGGTCCTGATCCGTCGTCGAATCCATGTGTTGGTGGGATGGTGTCCACGTCTGGCAGTGGTATGTCAACATTGAAGTATGGCACAACGCGTGAGAATGTTCTTTCACTGCGTGTTGTAACCCCACAGGGTGAGGTGGTGGAGACACGTAAGGTGGTACGCAAGTCATCCTCTGGGATGGGATTAAGATAGATCTGATATTACTGCATTTATGTTGTATATTTGTTTTTGGTGCGTATCTTTTTTTTTTTGTTTAGAAGAATAATAATTATTTTTTTTTGTTTGTGTCTTTGCTATTTTTAGTTTTAAATGAACCTTTTTTTCTGTTTGTTGTTGTAATAGTTCAAGAAAGTTTTCCTTTTGTCTTCACCTCTCATAGTAATGTGTATGCCCTATTCTGCTAATGTGATATTTTTTGTTGAAAGACTATATGCGATGTTGTATATATACTTTTTTCTGTGTCCCAATAAATATCTATTGATTTTTCTCTCTCTCTCCCTCTCTCTTTCTTTACTCTCTTTCCTCATCCCTCTTATACTGCTGCAGTGAAAAAGCCACATCCGACCCCGTGATGCCGCTGTGGAAGTACTTCATCAACACCAAGCCTGAGGTGGACGACAGCGATCTGCCGCTGCCAAAGTACCGGGTGTACGACGACGACGGCAATGTGAAGCCGGACGAGTCCACTACACCCCGCGTGACGGTTAACATCTCGAAGGGAAAAACATCGGCAAAGAAGTCAACGCCCATGTCGCCCAAAACACGTGCGAGGATTTTGAGAAGTGTCGGGGCAACTCCCACCGCCCCGCGTAAACCCAACACGACCTCCAATACCACTATGGACACGAATACCAATGCGAAGAATCTTGCGGGGTCTCCGGTGCCAGTCACCCCACCGCGTGCCTCCAGCAGTTCATCACAGCGGTCACCCACACCACCACGCAGTGAGAGTCGGAAGACAAACGGCAGCTCTCCTGTAAAGTCCACTCCAAAGCGAACGGCGTCTCCCAAGCAAAAGGCGTCCGCACCGCAGCAGTCCTCACCTAAAAAGGAAGTAACACCGCAAAAGTCTTCACCCAAGAAGGGGTCAACACCTCAAAACTCCTCACCTAAGAAAAGTGTCACGCCAACGCGATCGAGGCGCTCTACCTCAAAGCGGTCAGTCTCACCGCGCCGAAACAATGTATCACCATCTCGTTCTCGTTCTGCTAGTCCGGCCACTAGCAGTGTTTCACCCGCGCGGTCACCAAAGCGACAGAGTGTGACAAAATCTGTATCACCATCGAAACGTGGACTTTCGCGGTCGCCTACCAGCCGCAAGCCGGCGAGTCCGTCAAAGTCGACACCAAAGAAAACGACATCTGTGACACCACGTAAATCGCAGTCGAAGCGTGCGCGCTCTTCATCTGCGGTGCCTGAAGGAAAACCATCACCACGGTGGACCGTCAACGCACTCAAGGCGTATGCTAAGGAAAATGGCGTTAATGTTTCCCATGAGAAGACAAAGGCAGAGATTCTGGCCAAGATTGAGGCCCACAAGTCACACTAAAGGCAGGAAGGGAGATGATAAGGCTATTATTTGCCTAGAGGGGGTGTTCTGCTTGAGAAGGGAATAAAAAAAAAAAACAAAAGATGTGGAAGGAACATCCAGTGTGGGAGAAAACACACACAAACACAAAAAAAAAAAAATAGAGTCATGCGGCACAAAGAAAAGGAGTAAACAAAAAGAACAAGGACATCGTGATTTGAGATGTATATCTGAGCCGCTGAACAAAGTAGAGAAGAAATTCGCTGTTGGCACCGACGAAAATTGATTGGTACGCTCCTAGAGCAGGTTTATAGACTACTGACAAGGTACAATAGTCAGTCCCGCTTCACTCCAAAGTGAATTTTGGAGGAGCGAGTGAAAAGACTATACAGGCATCTTAGAATTGTATGTGATGAGAAACGCAATAACAACAAAAAAGAATAAAAAATAAAATGCCGCAGTGTGCCATTGTCATTTTGTTTTTTGTTTTGTTTTTCTTAAAAAAAAAAAAAATCGGATGAGTGTCTTTGTTACTTTCTATCTTTTTTTTTCTCCCTCATTAATGTAGTGGTAAAGTCATTCTTATTTTTCTAATTTCCTCTCTTTTATGGCTTATTTAGACATTTTAGAGGGTTAGATAGAATGAGTGATGTCACAGACGATGTAGGTCAAGAAAAAGTAACAAAGTATATCGTTGTAAACTGTGCTCATACCCGTTATCATGTAGTGCGAGCTGCAGCAGTCTCACTTGGTTGGTACGTTGAGGATGAGGAAAGTGAAAATGTTCCACCCGAGTTTCACGGTGTTGCACTAAAGAAAGATATGCGTCCGATATGTAAACGTCTTTCTTCACGAGGTATGAAGTATGACCCTACTACCACCCCACAGATTTTGTGGTTCGATAAGAGTGTGCTATCAGTACGTGTTTCTGCGCTTTCTTGTCGTCATCGCATCAACCATTTCCCTGGTATTCACATTATCGCACGTAAGGCAGTGCTTTTTAAACGAATTATGCGCATTAGACGTCAATTAAATCTTTCATTACCTCTTGTATCTGCTCTTAGAGCCTTTCCATGGAGTTTTTCAACAGCAACAGAGATGCTTCAACTTGAACGTTTGCTTTCTAATAAAAATCAACAAGAACAATATCAAATAGGTGAAAATCCATATTTTATCTTAAAACCGGGTAAAGGGTGCCAGGGAAAAGGTATTGTCGTAACACCAGAACCATTGCAAACACTAGAACAGGTTAGAAAGAATACAGGAGATGATTGGTTGGTGCAACTGTATGTGACACCTCCTCTATGCATAGATCGAAAAAAGTTTGATCTGCGTATTTATGTTCTTATAACCTCCGTAGTAATGGGAAAGCCTCCGAAACGAGGTTTTTCTTCTGCAATGAGTTCTAACAAAAGCAATCTTGACAGAAATCTATTGGAAGGTCTACAAGTGTTTGTTCATAATGAAGGACTGGTACGTATCTGCGCAGAAGAATATTCTTCCCCTAATAAAACGAATTGTGATCAGTCGAGTATTCATCTCACAAATTATGCAGTGAACAAGGGTTTAGAAAGTTTTTCAGTGGGGCAGACAACAAAAGATGATAGCTTCGGTATATGTGAAGGTAACAAACGCGATTTTAAATTTCTAAAAAATTATATTAATGCATTACCTCAAAACTCTATAGAGTGTAATGAGGTGAATAAAAACTCTGGAACTAACCTATGGGAATATGTTCTGCGTCGTATTGATATGTGCATAATGTTAACAATTCTTTCTGGTTGGGAAGAGTTGCAGCGGGAGTTCATCGTCACCGGCGCATCGCGGGGTTCACGTAGTGATAGTCGAAACTGTTTTGAACTCTTGGGGTTTGATTTGATGCTCACCGCTGGGTTAGATCCTGTTCTCATGGAAGTGAATCACTCACCCTCTCTTTTCTGTGATACTGACTTTGACTTTGAGACGAAACACCACGTGGTGATGGATGTATTTCGGCTGCTTGAGCCGTATGTGCCGTCCATTGAAAACTGTGATGATGCCTCCTACGCCGCATACCAGGCAATGGCACAGGTGAAGAAGAAGAACAGCAGCAGCAATGGGAGTGGAGAAAATGGATTTCGACAAATATCTCCGCAACGTAGTACTGGTGCTGTGTGGGGTGAAGAGGAGATGAGTGTATTTGAGGAGATGCTGCATCATGCGCGGCAAAGGTGAATAAGAGTAAACTGCCTTTGGTGTGTTCTTCATTACATACAGTTTTTTTTTTCTTTTTTTCTTTTTCTTTATCCTTTTTCTTTATTTATTATATTATATTATCCTTTTTTTTTCTTTATTTCTTTGAATCATTTTATTTTGGTGATTTGTATGCTTCTTTTTCTTTTTTTCTCATTCTATAGAATCACTTACAACACACAAACACCATTCTACAAGCTAGACGTCTTTTTTCTTTGCTTCAATCATGTCAAAACCCACACTTCCTATTATTGATCTGTCGCCTTTCCTTAACGACAGTAATAAGGTAATAGATGTTGCCAAACAAATTGATGATGCGTGTCGTAACTGGGGATTTTTCTACATTGTTGGGCACCCCATCTCACGGGAGCGAATTGCGAAACTGAGAAGTATGGCAAATGAGTTTTTCTCACTCCCCATGGAAAAGAAAATGGAAATCGATATCAAACAAAGTCGACACCATCGTGGATATGGGGAATTCAAGGCGGAACAGTTAGACCCTTCAGCCCCATTTGACTATAAGGAGACATTCGATATGGGTTGTAATCTGCCTGAAGATCATCCTGATGTTGTTGCTGGCAAACCGCTGCGTGGGCCAAATCGCCATACAACGCATGTGGAGGGTTGGGCGGAGCTGCTTGAAGAACACTACCGCGATATGCAGAAATTGGCACTTCTTCTACTACGAGCACTTGCCTTGGCGATTGGTATTAAGGAAGACTTTTTCGTCTCATGTTTTGTGGAGCCTCTCAGTGTTTTCCGTATGATCCACTACCCCGCTATGCCAGCTGAGCAGACGCAGCGTGTTGTGTGTGGTGAGCACACCGACTACGGCATCTTGACACTTCTCTATCAGGACTCCTGTGGTGGATTGCAGGTTCGCGATATTAAGGGAGAGTGGATTGATGCCACCCCAGTGGAGGGAAGCTTTGTGGTGAATATTGGTGATATGATGGCAATGTGGAGTAATGGCCGGTACAAGTCCACATCTCATCGCGTGTTGAATCCCGGCGTGGACCGTATCTCAATGCCGTTCTTCTGCGAACCACACCCAGATACACTTATTCAATGTCTTGAAAACTGCCATTCCCCGGAGAACCCACCAATGTACCCCCCTGTAAAGGCAGCGGAGTGGCTACGGAAGCGATTCGCAGCGACATATGCGTATCGCAAAATGATGTGAAACAAACACCTCTGTGCTTACGAGGATATATTTATATATATATATATATATAAATTTATATATATTCACAATCAAAATTTTTATATAAAGTTGATCCAGTTTTATTATTATTATTATTATTATTATTATTATTATTATTATTGTTCCTTTCATCGGTTCATGTTGATAAAGAACTGCACTACTTTTTTTTTTTTT